TGAGACGGTACATCTTTATGGGCACAGAAAGCCTTGTCTTTCTTCTGTGGAGTCCCTGGGGGTTTCAAACTGCTGACCTCGCAGTTAGCAGCCTGATGCATCAGCAAGGTGTCACTATGGCTCTGACATGCATGACCAAAGGGCAGGGAGACTTCCCCTAGAGGGCAACAATTTGTTCTGGGAGGGAGTGGGAAAAAGCTAAGCTATTCCATTGATTTGTGATGGTCTGATGTCTACTGTACTCCCCATCATTCCTCAGTTTGTAGTGTGTGGGGGGTGGGGTGGGGGTGGGGTGACGATTGATGATGAGGAACAGATGTTTAAAATGACCCCCTAACACTTGCCACCATGTTTGATCCTGACCCACGGCCACCCCACCATGTGGGGCAGGGCAGGACTGTGCCGTAGGGTTTCCGATGGCTTTCAGAAGTAGATCATCAGGCCTCTCTTCTGAGGCATCTCTGGGTGGCTTTGAAACCCCCTGCCTTTTGGTTAGGTGAGTGTGTTACCCCCTACCTTATTCAGGCAGTACTAACAGCTCCTAGGGGAGGTGGTCATCAAAAATGGTCCGAGAACCACAGTTGGGGTGCTGTGGTGAGTTGGGGCTCCGAAGGGCGATGGTTAGGTGCCAGGGAAGGAGTGCAGGCATCATGGGACATAAGCGGGGACCACAGGCCTTTCCAGTTAGCTGGACCTCAGCAGCGCTCCTGGCGGGAGTCAAGCTCACAGGTCAGGTACTCACTCTGCGGGAAGCGCGGAGGGTTGTCATTGACATCCGAGAGGGTGATGTTGACCGTCGTGGTCCCAGCCAGGCCTCCTAGCTGCCCGCCCATGTCCTTGGCCTGGATAATGACTTCATAGTACTCTTTGGCTTCCCTGTCCATGTTCATCAGCGCCGTCCTGATGACACCTGCAGGACACAAGCGCTTTGGTTTTGCAAACCAACCCAAACCCACGCTCTCATTTTCAAACGACTGCGTATATGCTTCTTTACATATAAAGCCGAAATGCACGTCTCACATGTTGTGCTAAACTTGCACAAGGTCAGAATCCCCTCTGCAAAGAGGCAAATCCCGCACAGCTATGCTGCCGCACCTCACCACCTGGGCGCCGCGGCGGGCTCCGAGGGCTGCAGTATCGGAGTGGAGCAGCAGGTGGCAGCAGCACCCCTCGGACGGACCCAGTCCCCGCGGATGCATGCTGCATAGACTCATCCCAGAAAACCGGGCTTGGCGTCCTGAAAACAAAGCCTTGCATGTCTGCAAATCTGGGGTTCGCGGGAACCCCTTTCCGATCTTTCTTTCTTTAGACCCCGAAATCCCTTACAGTGTGGATGCCTTTTCTTTAGGTAACTCATTCCTAGGTGGCTTTTTCCCATTTGCCTCCCAGACACCTGCAAGTAAGGGTGGGATTCTGATCCAATATCCCTTTTGTTAGGTTTGCCTTCCATTTGGTTACCTTCTGCTTACCTCTGTGCTCCCGAATCCCCCGAAGAGGCGGGTGCCCTGTGTGTTACATGCATCAGGGCTGAACTTCCCCAGGGCAGAAGTGTCACTGCAGGGAGATGACAAACCAACTAACCAAACTCACTGGCCACCAAGTCGATGCCCACTCATAGCGACCATATAGGACAGAGGAGAACTGCCCCTGTAGGGTTTTGAGGCTGTAACTCGTCATGGGGCCAGTCTCAACTTTCTCCATTGCAGCAGCTGGTGGGTTTGAACCTCTGACCTTGTCATTAGCAGCCCATCAGCTCCAGAGTCCAAACACACTGCCATTGAGTCAATTCTGACTCATAGCGACCTATAGGAAGGATGAGAACTGTGCTGGTGGGTTTCCGAGACTGTCACTCTTTACGGGAACACAGTCTGGTCTTTCTTCCGCGGAGCACCAGTGGGTTCATACTGCTGGCTTTCCACCACCAGGGCTCCTACTGCTAGCCAGAGGGGTCTAAAATCAAAATCCATTCCAACGTGTTGTTTTGATCCTGCTGAGGTGGGAGATAACGGACTCCCATTTAACCCTTTGACTTAGAGGAGTTGGCCTGTGTGTGCAATCCCAGGCAAGGGTTCAAGGCTCATTTACTTCAAGTTTACAGCAGGACGCTTGGCTAAGAAGGCCGTCTGCTCCTGGAAGGATCCACAACTTCGGAAGCCCTAGACATCAGGTCTATCCAGTCCTGTATGGTTGCTGTGCGTGGGAATCCACTCAACGGCAGTGGGTGTTTGTTTCAAATCCCCAAGGTCACCAGATGGGTGGATCAAGCGCAATGATGTTCAAGAATGTCCGTTGAAAGGGAGATTGCCTGGTGGTGCCCGAAGATGGTGATACAGGAATGATGCTGCCCACCTCCAAAGGGCTGGAGATCCTTCAGGGAGACCGTTTCAGAACCCGCTGTCATCAAGTCATTCTGACTCACAGGCACTCCACGTAGCCAGGGTAGAATGGTCTCTCGGGGTTTTCAATTCTGTGGTTTCTTGGAAGTAGATGGAGCGGAATTTCTTACCCAGTAGCTCTGGGCAGACCTAACCAGCCTGCCTTTGGGGTAGGCAACTGAGTTTGCTCACTCTTTGTCTGACCCTGGACCTCCAGCAAACAAACCAACCCTTCAGTCCCTGTATCTCTTCACTGTCCTTGAGCCAGTCCTCACCCTAGCAACGCTCTAGGAATAGGGTAGAACTGCTGTGCTAGTTAGGGTTTATTGTGCCAACCTAGCCAAGAAACACATGCAGGATTAATTGAAGGGCAATTTAATTGAAGGGCAGAGAGATAAATGGCTCCGTGAACCTCGCCCTTGTAGTTCTCTTATCTCTTGCTTTGTGAGTTCCTGTGGATTTGTTTCCCTAGTTTACTCAGACGGACACACTGGCCCTGGAGGGTTCCGAGGCTGTAACTCTTTGGCAGTAGAAAGCCTCATCTTTATCCTGTGGAGCAAGTGGAGGTTTTGAACTGCTGACCTTGCAGTTCGTAGGCCAATGCATAATCACTATGCCACCAGGGCTCCATTAGCCCATGCTCCTGGGTAAATGTGAAGGAAGTTCTCTTGGTTTGTTCCCTCCTGGACAGGAAAGCCCACCCCGCTGTCTGGACTCCTTGTTAAAGTTGCCCATGCAGGGCCTGCTCAGAGGCCAAGCTCAGTGCACACCACTCTGTTTTCTCTCATCCGAACCTGCCCAGCAACCATCCACTCGGGCCTTGCCCTCTGCTTAGTGCAGGGCAGTTTCTGTGGAAAGCATGTCTGATCATGTGTCCAGGGGGGCTTGCCCACCATGAGATGAACCTTGTTAGCTTTCAAGTTCCCCCAAAATCCTTTCTAGTTCCCAAACCCATGATTCTAGTGCTGTCGCATGTCCGGGTTAGCGAATTAATCCCCTCAGGTCTTCTGAGAGCTTGTCAGGGAATCAAGAGCACCACAGGACTTTGGGAGGCCAGTGAGCAGAGGCTGTTGTATAGGCGGTCTTTTGGCTTCTCCATCAGACACGATGCACCCTCTTTGCGTAGCTTGTGCTGACTCATGGGGCAGGCCCAAAGCTTCCAGCAGCTTCTCGGGTCAGGAGCTCTGTGGAAGGTCCTTGGGAAGGAGGCCCAGGGCCCTTCACACAAAGTTGCTATGAATGATTAGGGGCAAAGCAGTCCTGGGACTGCTGGGGCTGGTACCTGTTCTGGAGTCCACCGAGAAGTACGGCTGGCCCTGCAGGATGCTGTACACCACCCGGGCACTGTTGCCATAGGTTGGGTCGTCCGCATCAGTGGCCGTCACCTGGATAACAGAGGTACCTGAGGAAAGAGGCAGAGAAACCTGCTGGAGTCGACCTGCTAGCGGCCAGATACAGTCCTGCAGGGGCAGCCTGAAATTATTGATGAGTGTGTGGTCAGGTGTCCGTGGGAGAACCCCCTATCTAAGCTGGCTTCCAAGTTCTCAGCATGCCCCTGTATCTTCGGAGGATTTATTTGCTTGGTCAGTTCGTAGTGACCTGCATGGACAACGCAGCCTTTGGCTTTTCATAGCTCTTTTGATAACGACAAAAATGAAGCAAACATCTTAGGATGTAAGCACCTCTGCCTGTCTTGTGTCCACCTACTTACCTACCTACCTACCTACCTACCAACCTACCTACCTACCTACCTGCCCAACCAACCATTCGCTCTAGTGTCTATATTTTTGTTTTCTTTTGTTGTACTTTTGAAGATTCAGAACTGATCACAGCCTTAAACACCCTCCAGGTTCCTAACCCCTCAGATCTCAACATGGGGTGAATGGTTCTGTTTAGGAAGAAAAGTAAAATGGAAGCAGACTTTGATTCTTTGGTGACATACAAGTTCACTTCCAACAGACACACACGCACACCCACACACCCACACAAATGTGAGTTACTTGCCTGGTCAGTTCTTAGTAACCAGTGAGCACAACACAGCCTTTGGCTCATCATTGCCTTTTGATAATGACCAAAATAAATCAAACATTTTAGGAATCAAAAAACATCTTAGGAATCAAATACCTCTGTCATATGTCTACCTACCTACTTATCTACCTTAAAAAGATGTGGAAATGATAACAATAGTGGGCTCATTTTTGGACTCTGGCTGAGTCCAGTGTGTAAGTTCGATGGAGGACTTGGCTGCCCCTTATGGATCAGCTCTGTGCTCCATTCGCAGCACTGGGGGGTGTGTGGGAAACAGAACTGGGAAGAGAGTGTATGCAGACAAACTCAACACTAAAGCGTTGAAGGAGTCTGGGGGGCCGGGGCTCCTAGGGAGGGAACCTTCATGTCCATGGGTTGGAGATGCGTTCCAGTCACAGT